GCAACACTGAGGGTTGCGATCCGTTGCCGGACACGGAAAAAGACAAAGGACAAAAAAAAAAAAAAGAAAATTCAAAGATAAAGTTAAGTACGGAGAATAATATAATCTCCCATGTACTCTCAATCAAGCACTAATAAAAATAGTTTGTAATGTTTGTTTCCAATCTTGTATTTTTTAATAAAGAATAAGATATATAAAATAAAATAAAATATATATAGTGTGTGAGTGTGTATGACTTAACCCCTTGAATGAGTACAACTATGTGCAGAGACCTGTGAGTCTTTCTTGCAAATCACCAAACCAGGGGGTGGTCTTGGAGATAACCTCCAATCTTTTATCGACACATTGCAAATATCTTCCCCTAGCCTGTCATTTGTTCTTCAATCATATTTCTTATGGCACCTGTCTCATTAAGAAGGTTTAAATTTTTATGCATTAAAATGTAACTATCTTTTCCTTTTCTGGTTTGGCTTTCCTACACTAACAACCACAAAAATATTCTCAACTAATTTTTTCTTACAGGCTTACATTTCACATTTAAATATTTGATTCACAAGGAATATTTTTGTGTATAGTATAACTCAGGAACCTGATTTTGTTTTATTCCATTCAAAGAAGCAATTTCCCAACACCATTTATTGAATATCCATCATTTCCCTATTAATTTGTGAAGCTAATTCTATCATATACTAAATTCCCTTATATACATAGGTCTGTTTCTTGTACCCTGTTCTAATGATTGACTTCTGTTACAAGTCAGTACTACATTGGTTTAATCACAGTAACTTTGCATATATCTTAATATCTGGTGTTCTTTTTGAAAATTATCTTGGCTACCCATGTACTTCTATTTGTCCACATATATGAGGAGTTGCCAAAAAGTTTATGGAAAGATTCACATTCTCTTTTAATTCTATTTTTTCACAAACTTTGTGAAGTACCCTCATGTTTGAGAATTAGTATGTAAAAATAATTGAAATTTTGGAATTATTGCTCAAGTTACAGACTAACTTGGCAATAAATGACATCTTTTCAAGGTTGCATCCTCCCCTACCAGAATCAATATAATATCTTTCCCTATTCATTCAGGTGTTCATTTCCTTCAATAACATCTTATAATTTTCCTCGTTAAAGTTTTACCTAAATTTTTGTTTCTTTCTTGATATCTGTGTTGGTATTAAAGGGAGTCTTTATTTTCTATTAATGCTGCTAAACTTCCTGAAAGTCTTTAAATCTAACAGTTTGTCCATTCACTTTCTAATTTTATAAACTGTGACAATTTTTTCTCTTTCTTTCTAATCATACCTTTCTTTACCTGTCATCTTACATTGGCTGCATTCTCCAGTACAATGTCAAAGAGCTATAGTGACAGCTATCATGTCCTAATCGTTCCTGTTTAGATGCATCTTAATGGTGATAAATACAAAATTGTGGATAAAATGTAACATAAAATTTTGATAGACATCATTTATCTGGTTAAATGTTTTCTTCTATTCTCAGGAAAATTTTCTTCTGTTCTTTGCCAAGATCTTTACGTGTGTGTATATACAAAATTGTTCTTGATTTTTATTTAATACTTGTTTGGTATCTATTGGTATATTTTTTTCTCTTCTCACTGCTCTTGGGGTAAACCAAACTGACAGATTTTTCTAATGCTGAAACATCCTTGCCATAGCAGGTATTGTGATTACATTCCCTACACATATTCCATCATAGACTTATTATACAGCAGTTTGGCCTATACTTACCCTATACCAAGATTCTAAAATAAATCATGAGTACCCTAAACCAATCAGGATAACCCTAACCACTCTGTCAGAGTGACTTATTGAGGGGTTTGGACTTAACCCAGGCCTATAGCTATCAGCTCATGTCATTTCCCTGACCACCAGAAAGTGGTTCAGTTGGTCCAATGAGAGTGAAACTCAGAACTTTTGTTCAATTGGTAAAAGAACAAAACCTTTCTCTCTGCCACAAGGCATGAACTGATCACCTAGCCTTATCTACCAATTTCTGCTGGTAGGCACTTTGTGACCATGAAGGAAGCCAGCTAAGGAGAAAGAGGACATGGAGAAGATCATAGCTGAGTAGTTTATTGAAAAACACACCAGAGCCCATATCAAACTAACTCTAGTGTTTAAAGCAGCTGAAGTTGGAGTTGATTTTGGTTTTGGTTTTCTTACATCCAAAAACACATTGACTTATAAGCTGGTGTGAAGGTTAATTCTACGGGTCAGCTTGATTAGATTAAGGAATGCTGAGAAACCTAGTAAAGCTGTCTTTTTGGGTATTTCCATGAGGGTGCTTCCAGCAGAGATTAGTATGAGAGCCTGAGTGGACTAGTTGGGAAAGACCTGCCCTCAGTCTCGGCAGGAACCATCTAATCCACTGGAGGCCTGGAGAGAACAAAAAAACAAGAGAAAAAGGTGAATCTCTCTCTCTATCTGCTGGAGCTAGGGTACACTCTTTTCTCCTGTCGGTGGACATCAAAGCTCACAACTCTTCAGCTTTTGGGTTCCAGGACTTACACCAAGGACACCATTGACTTCCCTGGTTTTGAGGCCTCTAGACTTGGACTGAGCCATGCTGCTGGCATCCAGTTTGCAGATGGCCTATTGTGGGATTTTTTTTCACAAAAGCATGAGCTAGTTCCCCTAATAAATCCCCTCTCATATATTTATAAAATGTCCTATCAATTCCGTCTCTCTGGAGAACCATGACTAATACAACTGGCATTCAGAGTACAAATCCTACTCACTCATAGATGTATTTATTATTTAATACACTGAAGAACTTGGTATGCTATTTTACTTAGAATTTTTACCAATTATAATTTGAAATAAGTGTAGTCAAACTGAGTAAAAAAGCACATCATATGAAAGACTGTCCATTACACTATTCTGATGCCCAAGAATTTATTCATTTGTTCCATAAGTATTTATTGAGGACCTACCATATGTCAAGTACTGGGGATAAAATAAGGACCTAGACATAGTCACTGTTCTCAAAGAACATTGAGACCCGATACAGGCAGAAATATAAGAACCAACGTGGGAACTCTCAACCAGAACTGAAAGACTGGTGGCCCTAATCTTTTAAAACAAAGCTAACAAAATTTCCTAATTTTCATCTTAAAATTTTCATTACCACTTTTCATTCCAATTTATTTTATGGTTTCTAAGAGTTGGATACAATACCTGTATTAGATGGATCCAAAATTAACTGAAGAGATGGCTTATTTGTTTGGATGACTGAAACATCTCCAAATGTACTATCTGAAATCTCACTCGAACTGTGACAATCAACGAGAAGACTGCTTTGCCCTTTCTCAGAATCTCTCAAAATCTCTTCCATGGCTTTTTCCAATTGTTCATCACCATTGGAAACTATCTATAGACAGAGCAACACAATTCTGTTTCAATCTAGTATGATTCTGAAGCTTAATTTTATAAAAATATTTTATTTCTAAAGGAAATTAAAATATTCTAAATATTTAAATATTAGTTACTGAATACTAATTTACACCTAATTTCACATAGATATAATACATAAAAATCTTGAATTATTAAAACCAGCTAAATTAGAGGAAGATTATTAGCTTCACAAAAGGATTCTTCATAAACATTTCAGGCAATTTCCACACACATTTGACATAAGATTTTTTAAAATTAATTTATTTTATTTTATTTATTGAAACAATTGATTGTACATATCTGTATACAGCATTGAATATCAATATCTATGTGCAATATGTGATGCTCAAATCAGGATAACTAGTATATTCAACACTACACAATGTAATCATTTTTTGTAGACCAAAGATTTTATATACAGAGATTTCTTTTTCTTTTTACTTTTTAGAAACATATCTTAAAAATCAGATAACCTTAAATTTATGAGTTTTAAATGGAAAAACAAAAAGTTTAAACAGATAGGGCCTATTGTGAATATAATTGAAAATGTCATATTTCTTGTTATCATAGCATAAAGATATTTCTGACATCTTTACAAATTGTTTGCTAGCTGCCAAAAGGAGTATCTCTAACTTCTTTAAAATTTAATTTGATTCATCTTTTTCTTAAAAGCAGGTGAAACACAATGATCATAGCATAAAGATATTTCTGACATCTTTACAAATTGTTTGCTAGCTGCCAAAAGGAGTATTTCTAACTTCTTTAAAATTTAATTTGATTCATCTTTTTCTTAAAAGCAGGTGAAACACAATGCCTAAATAAATGTATTAAACATATTAATGCTAAAAATACAGGTATATAAAATTAAGGTCATTAATCATTTGAATAAAATTATAAAATTATATATTCTCAACGTAATATAAAATAGGTATTTAATAATCTCATATTTACAATGCATTTTATGAGACTGATATACTAATGCACTGTTGATGCCATAATGAATACTAAATAAAAATCATAAATAATATGTAGCACTTTTCACTAATTTTTCTATTCCTGTTTCTAGAGAACAGTTATATAATTCTCATGCATATATACTTGGGTTTACTTGCTTCTTTTTCTTCAACTTAGGATAGGCAACACAAAAATGAAAAAGAAAAAGAACCACATCCAAATAAAAACTTAACTGCTAAAAATATGACATATGTTTTAAAAATATTCAGACAAGTCAACTGTTAAATCGCACTCCAGAATGTTACCAGCTGATTTAAAACATTAAAATCATAAGAAAAACAGTCTCCAAAGTAAAAGCAAAGCATAACCATGAACATAATTAACTTCTAAAACCAAGCAGTAAGAGAAACAAAAACATCCACATAAATTAATGTGAGATTTAACTATTAAGTTTAATTTGACAATTATATTTTCTCTTTTTACTCTCCTATTCCTTCCTCCTAAAATTCCAAACTAAAAGGTAAATAACCAAAAGCAAAAGCATTAAAAAACACAAACCAAATAAGTAGCTTCTGGATAAATCAAACATTGATTTTATTCTCAAGGTTAGTACTTAAGAAAAACCTTTGAATTTTATGCCTCTCCCAAGAGAAGTTAGTTTCAAATCATAAAAAAAAAATACAATAATTGAAACAGTACCATATGTAGAAAAGAAAAAAATACCTTCAGTTGAGGTTTTTCATCATCCTTTGTAGAAATATCGTCTGCATGCTGAGGAACCAAAACAAATTCTTCACTGTTCAGTGTAGCCACAGAATCAGATGACCCACTAACCTTCTGTAATGAAGCTCTGACCTCCATTTCAGTTCTGCAAACTTCTCTTCCCACATCCACCTGGCAAAACTACAGGGATTTAAGAAAAAATAAAAATTACTGATTAAGAACATGAACTAATTAATAACATGAACAAATGAAGCTTTAAAAATGGCTAATGTGAAAAAGAATTCGGTTGGCTGGATAATTATCTCAAAATTAGGGAGGCTACCTTCTTGGACTAGGCCACATAATGGAAATGTACTCTCTTCAACCTGAGTTTCCAGACTAAAAGAACCATATTGTTCTCTGAAAAACAACACAAACTAGTTCATATCTCAACTAAACAGATTTACTGCTGTTTATTTGACACACACAGAATCTCTCTCTCTCTCTCTCATTTCTCCTAGAAATACTGCTTTCCTTTTTAATACAGAAAGGAAATAATTAAGCATGATACTAGAAATACCTACAAATTCACGCATGCACAAACAAAACTACATTCACTGAAATTATTAATTAACTCTAAATGTCTTCAAAAAACTTACTTCCTCAAGACCAAGTATTGTACCTTAGAATATTTTTTCTGGGTCACTGAAGTTGACTCACTAACAAAGAATTCAACACCCTAGGACATATGTTTTTCATCATCCTTTGTAGAAATATCGTCTGCATGCTGAGGAACCAAAACAAATTCTTCACTGTTCAGTGTAGCCACAGAATCAGATGACCCACTAACCTTCTGTAATGAAGCTCTGACCTCCATTTCAGTTCTGCAAACTTCTCTTCCCACATCCACCTGGCAAAACTACAGGGATTTAAGAAAAAATAAAAATTACTGATTAAGAACATGAACTAATTAATAACATGAACAAATGAAGCTTTAAAAATGGCTAATGTGAAAAAGAATTCGGTTGGCTGGATAATTATCTCAAAATTAGGGAGGCTACCTTCTTGGACTAGGCCACATAATGGAAATGTACTCTCTTCAACCTGAGTTTCCAGACTAAAAGAACCATATTGTTCTCTGAAAAACAACACAAACTAGTTCATATCTCAACTAAACAGATTTACTGCTGTTTATTTGACACACACAGAATCTCTCTCTCTCTCTCTCCCCCTCTCTCTCTCTCTCTCTCTCTCTCTCTCTCATTTCTCCTAGAAATACTGCTTTCCTTTTTAATACAGAAAGGAAATTAAGCATGATACTAGAAATACCTACAAATTCACGCATGCACAAACAAAACTACATTCACTGAAATTATTAATTAACTCTAAATGTCTTCAAAAAACTTACTTCCTCAAGACCAAGTATTGTACCTTAGAATATTTTTTCTGGGTCACTGAAGTTGACTCACTAACAAAGAATTCAACACCCTAGGACATATATCTTCTCTTTTCCAGACACATTACCACTTAGCATCAAAAAAAAAAAAAAGAAGAAAAGAAAAATAACACTTTCAACATTGCATTCATGTAGCAAACAATGTTTCAGTAATCAAATACAATGTAATTCTGTTTTCTGGATAGATCTCTACTTTACACCATAAAAACTCAATGCTCTCCATCATCTCCAAAAGTTCATATATTTATACAACTAATCTTAACTGAAGATAAATACTACAAAACAGACACTAAACTCAGCCCCGGGTTTACATGACTGAATAAGGCAGACAGGTATCCTACCCTCCTGAAGCTTACATACTAGTGAGGAAACAAGCAAGTCCACAAACTGAGATAAGTCCGATTCACTTTAAAGGCTATCAAGAAAATAAGGCAGGTTAATGCAACAAAGGGTAGCTGTGGAGAGTATAGGGACAACTTTAAGAAGGGTGGTAAAGAAAAGAACTCTCTGAGAGGGAAATATTTAAACAATCTGCTCAGTGACCAAATGGGTAACATGACAGAGCGGCAAGATAAGCAAGCTGGGGCTAAAATAAAACACACGATCTTGTAAATCATGACAAGTCTACTGATCCATGCCTAAAATCTCCAAGTAATGTCCTGTTTTTCTTTCTAATTAGGTTATGTTTTTCACTGCCACATATAAATACGGCTGCAGTATTCCATTTTGCCATTAGGTGACACTAACACCATTACTCTTGGTTTAAAAAAAAGAAAAGATTAACTTCCAGCTTCAACTCACACTTTGAAAAATTACTTTCCAACTTTATCAAACATCAAAATTTCCAAGAATATAAAAATAAAGAAGAATTGCACTCCTAGACTAGTGTAATTAGCTAGCCATCATTTATTTGTTATGCATGTTAATATCCTTTCTTTTTAAAACCCTTCAAGCACTTTAACCTATGCTCTATAGGTTTTTCTCACTTTGCATAGAAGTTTCTGAAAATGCAGAACATGTTACAGGCTATGCCTTTACTCTTCTAGGCTTCCCCATGAATCCTTGATTGCCAAGACACCACTCATTCCAGGTTTCTTTCCGTGGTAAATCCTTCTCCAAGTCCTCTCAGTTGCTGCTCCTCCACCTGACCTCTAAATGCTGGAAATTCCCTGAGTTCAAGTCTTGAGCCCTTTTCCCTTGCCACACACTCTCTCTAAGTAATATTTCTCATTGTCATGGATTGAAATAACATCTATATGCTAACGGATAGTCTCCAATATTTCTATCCCAATTTAAATGTCTCTTCTAAATTCCCGATGCGGAATCCAACTCTCTTCTTGGTATTTCCACATGGAAGTCTTATCAGTACCTTAAATGAAATGTGACCAAAATGGAATTCCTGATGTCTCCTTCAAACTTGTTTCTCATCCAGATTCCCCATTTCAATAAATAACACCACCTTTTAAGTTACTCAAACAAGGAACCTGGCTGTCATCCTTGATTTACCTCCACTTCTTCACTCTCCACATCAGCAAGTCATGTCAGCCCCACCTCCAAAATAAACCATTTTTCTTCATGACTACAACTACCACTCTAGTCCAAGCAATGCTCTTATCCACTATAAAAGCCCCCTAACCCATCACCTATATCCAGTCTTCTCCTCAATTTACTCTTTACAGAGCTGCCAAAGAAATTTTTTGAAAAATCAATTAGATCACATTAAAACTACAGATTAAAATCTTTTCATTACAAGACAAAATAAAAATGCCTTGCCAGGACTTTACAAGGCCCAATACACTTCTGACAGTGCCACTTTTTCATTGTAGCTTCTAAATCAGAGCAAGTCCTCCCGCTTCAGGGTTTTAGCTCTTGCCTCCTACCTTCAAACGGCTGACACCTTCAGGTATCAGTTTTTGTTCATGCATTCAACACATATTTAATTAGTCCATACTATGCACCAGAAACTATACTGGGAACTGAAGACATAATGATGAGTAAGACCACTGCAGTCCCTGTCTTCCTAGAGCTAACATTCTAATGGAAGAGACAGACAATACAGAAGAAAATAAATCAGGATCACATACTGCAGTACTACAAAAGGTGATAAAAAGGCAGAAGGCAATATGGGCCTACTTGATATTTGGGCTTAACAAGAATGAGTCAAGGGTTCAGATCCCCCTACCAGCCAGCCACCAAAAAAAAAGAAACAAACAAATAGACAAAAGTACTTGGGAGAAAGAACTTCAAGAAGAAGAAATAGCAAATACAGAAGCCCATATGTGAGAAAGGACTCACTGAGGGACTGAAAGGAGGCCATGGTAGCTTGATCATAGCAAGTGTGGGTGAAAGTAATATGAGATGAGATTTGGAAAGGAAGGCAGAGAAGCCTTAGTGTACTCCTGATTCCTAGGCTACCCAAATAAGCTCCCTTTCCAATCCCAAAACTCTGTTTTGTTTATCATAGAATACCCCATGCCTACCTGGTACATAGAAGATATTCAATAAATATGTTGAGCAAATTGTTAAAAGTACCAACCAGGTCAAAGTTCTCACAAATAGCAAATGTGAAGGGAGGATTCAAACCAGGTAGTCTGGCTTCGAGTACATGATCTGAACCGCTATGTTATGGTGTCTCCTAAAGACTCTTCATCTGTTCCTTGAAATCCAGGGTTGGTACCTGCTTCAATAGAATATCACTATGCATTGAACCTTCTCCATACCCTCTCCTCCATCAAACTTATCTGTCTCTTCCCCCAAAGCGTTCTCCCCAGATAAGAGATATATAGATTAACTGATAGTTAACTCTGAATTAGCATATTAATTGATAATAATTGTTGCACAGTTCAAATAAAATGTCCATTTTAAAAGTTTTCTTTAACACAAGGAAATGTCAGATATTCTGTCAAGCTAACAAGAAAACTATTAGTTTACCACATGTAATTTTGTGACCTCTTCAGAACATAGCCCAGATCTTGTCATTCTATTCAGAATTATGACAGCTCTCATTACAAGCATTAAAACTGCCTCAGAAGGCCATAGGGATACTTTTAGATGTGTGCCTAATTCTACCTTATTCAGCTGAACATTGACCCTGAATACGAAGATAATATACTTATCAGATTTGCACACAAAAATCTAAGGATCGCAAAGTTAATACTTTAAAATATTTCAACAGGCAAGAAAGGTCAGTAGTAAGATTTAAGTGGGGAAAGAATAGTCTTTTCAACAAATGGTGCTAGGACAATTGGCTATCCACATGCAAAAAATGAAACTGGACCCCTACCTCACATCACACAAAATTTAATTCAAAATGGATCATAGACCTAAATGTAAGAGCTAAAACTATATATCTCTTAGAAAAAAACACAGGAATAAATCTTCATGTCCTTGGGTTAAGTGGTGGTTTTTTAGATGTCACATCAAAATCACAAGTGACAAAAGAAAAAAAATAGATAAACTGAACTATACATCAAAATTTAAAATGTGCTGAAAATGACACATGAAGAAAGTGAAAAGAAAATCCACAGGATAAGAAAATATTTGCAAATCATATGTCTGATAAGGGTCTTGTATCCAGATGATTAAAGAAACTCTTACAACTCAATAAAAAATAATAATTGAAAGGACGACAGGACCCGAGCTGACAGTTCACCAGAGAAGTTCCGCTTTATTCGGGGGAGAAGCATACATTTATATAGAGCCG